CTCCGCGCCGGGCGGTGCGCGGCCCCAGGCCCCGCGGTCCGGTTGTAGACCCCGTAGTTCGTCACCTTTTACCCTACCGGGAGCCGTTACCCGGAGCTGCCGGGGGTACCGGGGCCGCTGGCGGAGCCGTTTGAGTCCTTGACCCGCGCGCTGCACAGGGGACGCGCTGCGAGCTTTCCACACCGCGCTGAGGAGCTCCCCCGTGAGCACCAAGAACCAGGCCATGAAGGTAACGGGGCGCGGGCAGGGCTGGGGGCTCGCCGGGGAGCTGTGAAGTGCTGCAGCGTCGCCCCAGAGATCCCATCAACCCCCCCGGCGCCGCTAACGAGCGATACGGCAGCGCGCCGCGTTCTCTGCATCGTTGATCTCCTTGAGTTCGCCCCTTCCTCCTCCTCGCTCCTGAAGGGGACAACGCTTGCCTGCTTGGTTGCAGGAATAAGCCAGCCTTCAGCGTAGCCACCCGCCCTCTGAGCGTGCTTTGTCGAACACAAGTCTTGGGCTCATTTCCAGCTTTGTTGGTTCTCATGTTATCCTCCTTTCCTTGTCTCCGCAGGAGCAGGCCCAGGGAACCATGCTGAAAGTCCTCACGTCTTTTAAAAGCAGTGAAATAGAACAAGCGGTGAATTCCTTAGACAGAAATGGCATCGACTTGTTAATGAAGTACATTTATAAAGGATTTGAAAAGCCAACAGAAAATAGCAGTGCGATATTACTTCAGTGGCATGAAAAGGTACGTGTTTGGTGCTCTCATGGCTTGGCCACGCTCTCCTTGCTGGCGCTCTGGCGAGAGGCCGGTGCTGGCGGCAGCTCATCCCCGAGCAGCACGGGAACTGGCGTTCCCTTTCCGCTTCGGTCTCCTTGAGCTGGGGCTCGTTAATGTTTGCCTGTGCGTCAGAGCTTAACGCTCGGCCAGGGGGAGAGGTGAGATCTGTGGCGGGGCAGCGTCTGCTGGAGGAAGCGTTGTGCTGCCTTCCGCGTCTGATGAGCGCAGTGTCCGCAGCGAGGAGAAGGAGCTGGGGGTGGAGGTGTGGGTGGCAGAGCTGGCAGCGTTCCTCTGCGGCCGAGCATCCGGCTGGGGGGTGCTCAGCCTGGCTCAGGCCCGGCAGTTTCCGTCAGCTGAGCGCTGTCAGCAGCATACGTGTCGCAGCTTAGTAACAGGATTCGGCAGACCTGTTTGGTTTGCGCAGGAGAGGCTTTTGAGATCTCCAGAAAGATTCCCCTGGGATCCGGAGTGCTCCTCTCACGATCCTGTGAAGGGAATTCCTGTTGTGGAGGGTGGGATGTGCGGACTGGTGAGCGTTCCCTCTCTGTGCCGGGGTGAGGCACTGCAGGAATTGAGTGAAATCTGCCCCAGCTGCAGGGGTTTTAGCTGCAGCACCGGCTGGCAGTGCTCCTCCTAGGAAAGGTGATCCTGAGGAATGCTGCTGCTCCCCGTACCACCGGCATGGCAGCAGTGCAGCCTGCTGCTAATGCTGCTGTCCTTTTCGCAAAGTACGGGTTTTTTTCCTGTGATACATCAAGACAGAATTTGTGTAGTGACTCCAGCTATTGGCAGCTGTCACTGGCTTTGTGGAGCCTTGGCAGGGGAGGAGGAGGGAATTTCTCAGGACAGCAAAGAACATGTTTCTGCTTGATTTTTTTTTTTTTTTTATTTTTATTATTTTTCTTTCTGTTGTTGTTTCCACTGGAACCTGTTTTCAGGTAACCACGGGTGGGTGCTCCCAGTGCATAGCATTACACAACACCCCCCTGACCGGAAAGATGACAGTGCTCCGAGCATGTAGGCACACGTAAAGCATCTCGTCCCCTTTGTTTTGAGAGGAACAAGGCAGGTTTGAAGTAGGCTGGGCAGGGTTTAAAATCTTCCTTGTGTTCTGCTTTTTGGCACTACTGGTAAGACGTGTGGCTTGCTCAGCGAGGAGCCAGCCGCTCGGTAGTAGTACCCGTCCATCCTCTGGAAAAGGCGCGGCTGTCGTCCCACACGTATCAGGTTTGGCAACTTGGGAACGTTTACGTGCGTGCAGGTTCTGCTCCGAGTGGCCGCTTTGCAGGCGTGTTTCCTAACGACAGCGAGGTGTCTCGCGCTGTTATGTTGTGCTCATTTCATACATTCTAACAGCCACTGGGCTGTATTCAAATTATGCCTGCAAAGTAAACAGGCCTCATTTTAAGCAGTCGGCTTTAATATTTATTTTTTCCTAATCACATCCACATTCGTCTAGACTTCAGAAGGATTCTGTGTTAAAGCTGTCCCTGCTCACTGCAGGGGGTTGGGCTGGATGATCTCTAAAGGTCCCTTCCAACCCAAAGCATTCTGTGATTCTGTGCAAATAAACTGAAACGAGCCCTTCCTCCTTTCCAGTCAGGGATATGGGAGGTGAGACATTCCGCATCATCAGTGACATGCAACACTGGTATCCTTCTCTAGATGTTTTTTTTTGTAATTTTTCCTTCAGATTTAGTGGTGTATGGGTTACTGAATTACTGTATTTGGTTTTGTCTGCCCTTCAGTCCCTTGGTTCTTACGTCACGGAGTACATTTATAGAATATTACTATATATGTACTGCAATAAGTTGAGTCAAAGATCACTCTCGTCTAATATTTACAGAGGGGAAGTGAGGCACAAACTTCCCAAGATCGGAACAGGCACGGATCTGAGTTCAGGTCTGAGCTCCCCCATGAGCCTTTTAACTGTCATCCTAAATCATGCGGAGCACACCCTGCAGCGTGCGCATGTAGAGCTTGGCTCCGCAGGAAGGCAAAGGCGTCAGCAGGGTGGAAGGCACCTGCAGAGGCACCGGGAGGTGGAACAGCCCAAGAACTGTATTCCTGAGAACTGTATTTCCAGTTCTGGTGGTAGTGGCCAGCATAAAGAGCTGCGCTGCGGGCTGGGGCTGCGTGAGCGAACCGGCCACGCGAGCACTTTGTACCGAGAGAACCCCCACCGCCTGGCCTCGCAGGGGCAATGCCATTCCATCGTGGAAACCTGGCACTGCACGATACAGTTTAGTACCTAAATGAAACGACTTAAAGCGTCTTTAATGTCTGCATGTGCTAGAGAAAACAAACAGGTTCTCCCCAGTTAACTGTTATAAAGATTTGAGCAAAAAGGGGTGGAACGAGGTGGAACAGCCCAAGCTGCCCGTGTGTGAAAAGTAAGTTTCTGGAGAAGAGCCATGTACTCTTCTGTTATTAAACACTTAATTGTTTGTTCTTTCAAAATGCATTTTGCGTGCGACGTAGTGGCTGCCTCGCGTGACGCAGCAACTCTGCGTAACACATCTCTCCTTTTCCCGTCCCCACAGGCATTAGCAGTAGGTGGACTAGGTTCCATAGTAAGAGTTCTTACAGCAAGAAAGACTGTTTAAAAGACTATTCACTTGAACCAAGACGACGCTCAGTTTTGGACTCGGAAGAAGGAATCAGCTGAAATGACACTGGTCCATCTTTATTAGAGATTGCAATCTACTGAAATACTATGGAAACCTCCTCTTGGAATGCTTTTAACCTTAAAGGTGGGGGAAGAGTAAAGGTATTCCTGCATATTCCGACTATCAAACACAGGAGCCAAGACATTCTCCTGAACCCTTCTTTAAAAGGCAGAGAGAAGGCACGCCCCTGCCTCCTATTACTGTAAGTGAACAGGTATTTTCAGATGCTGCTTTATCGAAGTGTGGCGATAAGAGATCCCGTGTGTACTGCTTACAGAAGAGGTAGCTGCGTCCTTGGCAGAGGCAAGATCCTGACAGCTTATGGGCGGGAGAAGTGTTGATTAGAATGGCGGTTCTGTACGTATGGTCAGAGGACTAATGGGACTATGGGGGTGGTTTCATTGTAAAGTGCCTGCTGCATCAATAAAGTTCTTGGATCACGAGTTAAGTAACACATTTTTCGCTAAATTGTAAGTCTGACACTTATTCAAAAGCAGGCCAGCAATATACCAATTCTAAGCTAAGTGTCTGCCTTTGCATGAGTGCTCTTAACTCCAACTATTTACAGAATTTGTCCTCAAATCCAATATGCTGGCTGTAGGGACTGAGAGCAACCTCAGCTGGTCCAATCAGTGAATATAATATGTAATCACCCATGGTTTGATTTTTATATTCTTGTCCATCCTAGAGAGTCAAGAAAATGCTTCAGAACTTACTAACTTACGTATTAGCGTGTCCTCCCCTTCTGAAGGATTTGGGTACGGCAAAATGATCTGCTTCCTTTGAGTCAGTACACACGTTTTCTCCTTGATTTGTCCAGACGGACGGACGGACGCAACTACTCAAACCCCCGCAGGTTTGTCCATCTCCAGCGCCAGCTACAGCACCCCTGGCAAGAGCGCTGGGGTTGCGCGGTGTGCGCCCCGAGGAGCCTGGCGGGGTTGTCTGCCGGGGAGGAGCCTGCCTTCTGGCACAAGCGAGCATACTCCGAGCGAAGCAGCTGCTCAGGGCAGCCCCACTCCATTCAGCCTTTGGCTTTAATCGGCTGCTAAAAGCGCAGCAGCAGCTGTCCCTGGTGAGAGATGATTTTAGGAGGCAGAAGCACTCTACCTCATTCCTGGCCTAACTCCCTACGAGAAACGGGGGCTGTAATTCCGTGGCTGACACACCCATTCTTACCATGGGCAGAAGGTGGGGTTTGTTTCATGCTTTAAAATTCTCTCCATTTTAAATAGCTATAGCATCCCATTGGAGATAACCAGAACTATAAAGAGAAAGAAATCAACATTAGGGTTTTGATCCAAAATGTATTGCACCACAAATTTCATAGTGTTTCATAATACAATCCATATTTACAGCATAGAAGGAAAGAAATCCAATGTCCATAGAAAGGATTATGTATACCATGGTTTTTTATACAAGGGAAAGTGCATTAGCTCTTAAATATATGTATACACGCCATTCTTGCTCTGATATCTAAAGAAAATTAAACACTTAAGATCTACTTCTTATGGTAAGTTGATCCTGTATGAGCTTTGGGATCTTAAATTGAAGTTGTGTTAGTGAATATATAAGCTAAGATTTTATGTTGTCACTCTCTATTCTAGGCTGCCTGTACAGCTTTTCTTACTGTTCAGCAGTAATCTTTCAAGCCAGGATCAACATAAACCGATTAGTCATTCAGCAGGCATCAGCGTGAGTAGGGGGAATCCTGTCCCCCAGTCTTGGGTCCCACAGAAATAGGCCAGGGCAAAGGGACATTCTACAGAAAAAGACCTTAGAGAATAAAATCTTCCCAGAACCAACAGGGTTATCCTGCCCCTGCTCTGTTTCAGTACAGGAGCAATTGGTATAAACCCACTTCTTGATTGTCTGTTTTCACCTTGGAGCAGAGTTGTACTCTTCTCATAGATTTCCCTATGCTATCGCTAAGTGCCATGGATCAGGTTACTAAAGACTCTGTTTGGACAAGCTTTAGTGTACTAAAAAAAAATACCCCGTTGGTTTTCTTAACTTTAAATAAATACAACCTAGCTCTGAACTGAGGAGTGTCACTTGTGCCAAGGTAATAGCTACTGCGAGTACCTGCATCTAGGAGATGGCTGATTAACAAAAATCGGGGAGGTCAGCCAGGGTATAGATTTGCAGCACGTTTACCGCTCCAGTAACTGACCTCACATAGAAGGATACTTTCATCTTTACCACAGCACAGGTGCGTGTGGAAGCGGGAGCAGCTCACATGCTGTAGCTCTAACACTGCATCTTGACTGCCACCACCAAGGGCATTCAGACCCCTGTTAGCAAAGCAAAGTTAAAAACCTGAACAGTGACTGTATCTACGCTAGAGGAGAGGTTGAATTTTCTTGAATACATTTAATAAAAGCATTGTTAGAAACACAAACCTCGCCGTAAGAGAATCACCAGAATTGCAGCCTGCTCATCGAATTCCATACGAGTGTAGTTTTTTTGAAAATACGTCCCATTTTTGAGAAGTCAGACTTAACTGCTGCTTCCCATTTCCGTCTAGATTTCGCAGTGGTGTTAACTACGGGCAAAGCTGTGCTTCCACTCTGTGAGGCAAGTGCCACCTTGGTCCCCTTTTCTCAAGGGGGAAGGAAAGCAAGCTGCTGGAACCAAGATTTATTCAATAAGACTCAAATTTTGCCCTCAAAACTAAAAACCTCATGAGCAGCGTTTCTTTTACCATGTAGTTAGGACACAGTTAACAGCCCACTACATGTTTATAACAGTTTTTAAGCATCAGTATTTGAAGTACAGAAAACCACAACCAAAGAGGCAGATACTGGTTATGAAGATTTGTTGCTAGCCGACTTGGAAGAAAAAAAATAAAAATCAAAGTGTTTAGTACCAATATTCTTCACCCTTTGTCACTAGATTTTTTTTTTTTTTTTTTTTTTAAATAAAAGGTATTCTCAGTGTGCATTTACAATACCTGGAATTCAGCTTTAAAAATTTAAAATGGTTTACTACCCCTTCTTCCCAATGCTAACAACCTATGGTACAGGCTAGTAGATTAGTTTTAAAGGCGACTGAGTATTAGGTACTATAATTAAGACCATTTTAAATATTATTTTTCTTTAAGAAAAGTAAAATCAGACAACTCTAAAGTTGTGCTCTCAAATTAAATTATCATCATCAACATGCAGCCTTCAGGACTGCAGGCCAGGATATATGCACCTTAAATTACACAGTGATATGAAAAAATGCGAACTATTAGTTATGTCAGTATAACAAGGCAAGGCAGATTTCTTTTTTTTGGTTAAAGCTCCTGCTCCTGTTCTTTTAAAGGCTTTTCAAACTGTCAAAAACTCAACACAGTACTGCCAACAGCATTTTTTTTTTTCTTTTCATCGCTTGCTTTCCACAGCGAGACAAGGAAGCTTTACTGTGTCTAGAGTTACTCAACTCTAGCCCTCCGTAACAGAAGCCGGAATCACCATCATAACAGATGCACGTGTTAGAAGCTTGAACTGCCAGCACCGGTATTAGTGAGGTTAACGTTACCCTTTGGTGCCAAGAAAACAAGACCGATGAGCACAAGGAGCTGACTTCCATTAAGAGACCATCGAGACAACGGTCCCCAAATCCAACCCAGAGAGGTGCTGCAGTTTGTAGTGAAAATTTCTCCTTGCACAGTATTAGTTTTGTAAACAGTGTCAAAAGTTCTTGTACAAAATACTGCAATGACAGTGATTAAGACACACCTGAATTAGTGTGTTCAGCGTTCTTTTCACAGAAAAAAGTGGCTAGATGCTGACCGCCCGTTTTCAGGTTCCCTTAAGGCCACAGTGTCCTTGGGCTCGAGATAGACGGACGGATACTGCCTTTAGGAGATGGCTTTGACCCAAACCACGACATCTAGGACAGGAAAGCACAATACACGTTATGCTAGGTTCACACTTCTAAGAAGCTGAAGATTTGAAAAAGAAAGAACATGGCACATAGGCATCTCCTCAGCATTTGATGGAAAGAACTATTTATAAAAGAGAATGCTGCAGACTTCAGACTGAAGTGAAGATAGCTTCACACAATCGAATCTGGAAGAAACAGCACCCATTTTCCACAAGTGACAATGACTGAAGACTACGCTTACATAGATTCCTTTGAAATAATTACAAATTACAAATCTACAGTCATTTAAACACAGTACCTTTAGTCAATCTAGTATCAAACTGTTCCCTGAATGAGATGGCAAGGAAATCTCCCCCAGTTGCAATCACATGTAGACTGAACATGTCCAGCTTACTGAGCGGGCAGAGATGAATGCAGGGCATGGAAGGAACTGAGGCAGCACTCGTTTATGAACATTCACTAGTAACCACATAGCCAGGGACATGCAGGACATTTTATGCAATGGAAAGGAGAAACGGATCTAGGTGTGTAAGCCCAATGTCAGAACCACAAACCAAGAATTCGGCTTCCTGCTTTTAAACATTTGACTGCACTCCAGCAAGGAGCTTCCAGCTTCCCTCCACCGAGTCCACTGGGCAAAACTGTGCTGTTACTCCTTCTCTGAAGCACTGGAATGCACTTCCCTCACTGACATGGACAATTTCTAACATATATGTATGCAATTAGCTAACATTTTAATAGTAAGTTACATTTATTATTGTAGCTAAGTTTTGGAAAAGATACTTTTTCACAATCTCCCAGCATTTAAGAATTTTCATTCCATCTGCTGGGAGTCCCAGAGACTACAGCTGGAACAGAACCCTTACCTTGTACTCCAAAGTTTCTTTAAGCATGTTTTCTTCCTCTTGTGAAAAATTCAGTAACACAGATACAGCTTTAATTAGATGGAATGCCTGAAAGAAACCACAATATTGTGTTGCTTATGATGCTCTCAGGCTCTACATTCTGGACTATGGTGCAGCACAGTTTTTCTGTAGGTTTGGTCACAGGCTTTCTAGTCAACAGCTGCGAAGAGCAGACCGCAGCCTTCCTTTATCCCCAGTTCCAATAGACTAGGATGGCCTGTATCTTACTACTTCTGTTTGTGTTTCCTGGCTTTCTGTTCTTTAGCATTGGTTTGCATATTTTGGGGAAAGAAGACAAATGGGGAGCCTAGTTAGTCAGAACAGAGAAGAAGCCTGGCTCCTGTGGCATCCTCGTTTTTTTAAGCTTTGAAAAGTCAATCAAACCAGCATGCAGGCAGGAAAGAATCATGCCATTTGAAATATACACTTAAGCATATTAACTCTATAGTACTAATATTCTAAATGGGACACACAGTGCAGGGTTAGTGAAAGAGTCAAGCACTCAGGATACCTCAGAGTCACACAATTATTTCTTGATCTTACCCACTGACTTGCAATTAAGCAAAGTATTGCTGGTGTGAC